TCTGCTGGGATGTTATCTTCCTCTCAGCTGGGATTGGCACTGACAGCCTTGGTCGACGCCCACCTCCTGAATGACAAATTGTGTCGATTGAGGCGTGAAAACACCTACATGATGAAAAATTTTTTTAAAGCAACATGATGACAGATAATTGTAGGATTAGTTGGGAGTCGTTATCAAAATATTCAAAGAACTGCTTTCGAAAAAGCAAGACATGTTGTGAAGCTCAAAATTTTTAACATGAAATTACTCAAAACTAAAATACTGAGCAGATAGGATTTTGTAGTTCTGGGGTAGCGAGCTATCATGAATTGACCAATGTAATGTTTTTCCACCCCCAGGGCCCGTTTGTCCACATCGCCAGTATTGTGGCCACCATCCTCAGCAAGGGAATACGCTCCTTCCGCGGGATTTACGAGGTGAGCAAATGTGGCTGTTGTTGTTGTAAAGAGTGATTTACGAGGTGAGCAAATGTAGCTTTTGTTGTTGTAAAGAGTGATTTACGAGGTGAGCAAATGTGGCTTTTGTTGTTGTAAAGAGTGATTTACGAGGTGAGCAAATGTGGCTGTTGTTGTTGTAAAGAGTGATTTACGAGGTGAGCAAATGTGGCTGTTGGTGTTGTAAAGAGTGATTTACGAGGTGAGCAAATGTGGCTGTTGGTGTTGTAAAGAGTGATTTACGAGGTGAGCAAATGTAGCTGTTGGTGTTGTAAAGAGTGATTTACGAGGTGAAGAAATGTGGCTGTTGTTATTGTGTGTGTGTGTGTGTGTGTGTTGGTGTGGTAGCCTATTCGTTCTAAATGTTTGGAGCCCCGAAGAGTGTGCTCTTCGCCAGGGCCACCCCACCTCTCTTGGGTTGCGGGTGAGGCAGTCCAAACTACCTGATTCCTCCTCCAAAGAGATGCCACCGTCGCACCTCCGTGGCGGGGCGTCTCTGCAGCCAGTGCTCCAAATCTTGGGACTCCTCGCTGCACAGCGGACAGATTGTTGTTGTTGTTGTAAAGAGTGATTTACGAGGTGAGGAAATGTCGTTGTAGTTGTTGTTGTTGTTGTTGTTGTTGTTGTTATTGTGGTGAAAGAAGAATTGCTGAAGTGAGAGAATGGTTCAGTTTTGTTGTTGTTGATGTTGTGAAAAGGGTTTAGTCAATAAAATACAATTTTAGTTACAAATCTGTAAGAATTTTGTTTTTGGGGTTTTTTTGAGTTTTTTTAAAAGGAGTTTGAATCGGTAATACAATAACAATGATCACAATTGTTTTGCTTTTGCTTTGTTTATGGTGAGGAGTTTGTCAGTTCAATAGGTTTTTTTTTAGGTTTTTTTCTTTAGAGCAAGATAAGATAATTTTAGCATTGTGTTGTCTTTTATCAGTCTGTAAATCAGTTTTGGACTTTTGTTAATCTGTTAAATCCAGGGGCGGTCGGCGGGTGCTGTGGTGTGGTTTGCTCCTTTTTTTCCCATCAAACGTTCATCACCCTTTTTATTTTTCATATGTTTCTCTCAAGTGACACTTCTAGTCTTTGCACTTATTATATTACCTATTTGTGTTGCAAAT